CCGCCCGGTCTATCTTTAGACCCACTGGGGACAGTAAAGGTCGGGCCCATTCCCGGGAAAGGGCAGTGGAAACCTGACCCCCAGAGTGGGGGCTGATGGGATATGGGGGGTGTGCTCCCAGGGAGAACTCAAGGCAGCCCCCATGGAGAGGTCAGGACACTTGGGTTCTCATGCGGGGTGGGGGGGACTTTGGGGCTCAGGCACCTGGGTTCGTTGTGGGGGGGAGGTAATGGTAAGAGCACGGGGGCGGGAGCTCGGACACCGGGGTGGTCGGGGTCCCAGAGACACGGGTTCTCTGGGAGTATGTGGCGGGGAAAGGTGAGTGCAGGGGGTGGGAGTTGGGGTGCCGGAGTTCTCTGTAGGGAAGGGCTCTGGGGGTAGCCCAGACACCTGGCTTCCCTGCCAGGGGAAATGGGGGCTCAGAGCTCGGACACCTTGCTTCTCTGGGGGGTGAGAGCAGGAGGGGCAGGGAGCCCGGACGCCCGGGTTGTGGGGGGGGCGGTGTGCCACGGGCCCTCTGGTGGCTGCAGGTGGGATCACACCCTGCTGTCCCAAGGGGGCAGGGGCCCAGGGCACGATCCGGGGGTCAATCCTGGGTCTCCCCTGGGGTCCCAGGGAGGCGAGGGAGAGCCCGAGAGCGGGGCACAGTAGAGGCTCCGGGGCCTGTTTTGGGCTGTGAACCCAGGTGTCCCGACACCCAGGCTTCCCGGAGCTGGAGAGAACCAGGCGTGCCCCAGAGCTGGCAGGGAACCCAGGCGGGGGGCGGGGGGGAGGGGAGGGCACCGCCCTGGGGCACGCGCGTGTCACGGTGTCTGGAGCCGCCCGGCGCCGCCACACGCGTGAGTCATGGCTCCGCCCCCAACGGGCCTGTCGGCTTCCTACAATGCCCTGGGGCTCCCGCCAAGCCCCCATCCTTGGTAAGCCCCCTACCCTGGGTCCTGGCATTTGCTACCCAGAATGTCCTGGGGCTCCCACCAAGCCGCCCCAAATCCTTCCCACACTGCTCTGTGCTGCGGTCCCCCCACACCCACAATGACCTGGGGCCTGGCACCACCTACCCACAACACCCTAGGGCCTGTCTCCCCTACCCAGAGTGCCCTGGGGCTCCTAGCAAGCCCCCAATCCTTGTTACCCGCAACCCCTGTGCCCCGGCACCCCTACCCACAATGCCCCGGGGCTCCCGCCAATTCCCCCCCATCCCTTGCTACCCACAATGCCCCGGGGCCCCCTCCCCCCGAGGTTGCTACAGACACCGGTTGTATCACACACTTCCTGCCCGCCTCCCCGCCGGGGCCGCCGGACACTGGGTTCTCTCGTGGGGGGGAGGGGACCCGGATGGGGGGAGGGGGGAGTCCACCCCGCCCGGCCCCACCCCTGAACTGGCTGCAGGGAGGGGTCCAGACAGGAAGTGACGTCTTCCCCTCCCGCCCTGGAAAAGTTTTTGCAGAGGCAGAAAGTTTTTTTGTCTGTGTTCCTCCGCCGGCGAAAGTAGTCCCCTCCCGGCAGTGACGTGTCAGGGCGGGGCCAACCAATGGAAGCGCGCCAGGCCCGCCGGAGCCCCGCCCCCCTGTCCCAGGCAGGGAGGGGCCAGCCCCTCCTCCATGTGGGATTGCATGTGTGTGTGCAGTTGCACACGCGTGTGCACATCTCTGCCCCATGTAGGATTGCTCTTGTGTGTGCCATTGCACACCTGTGTACACATCTGTGTCCTCTGGGTGAGATTGGACATGGAAGTGCAGTTGCACATGTGTGTGCGCATCTGCCCCCCGCTCCCGTGTTGGTTGTGTGTTCTGGGGGCTGCATGGTGCACAACGGAGGGGGGGCACACGTGTGTTGCACACGGCACCAGGAGGCAAGCATGTTGCACATGCGTGTGCATCCAGGCATGTGTGTCTCCACCCGCATGTGGGGCTGGCCCACACGTGCGGGTGAGCGTGTGATCTTCTTGCAGCCCTGCGGGCATCACACACGGCTCCCGTGTGCATCTCGTGCACACACGTGTTTGACTTCCCGCCACAGCAGCTGGCATACAGCAGTGCACACGCGTGTGTGCATCCCCCGGCTGGGCTGGCGTGTGCTCATGCATGCCACAACTGCTCCCATCACCCCCTCCTGTGACATGCCCATCATCAATGCCCCCCCCCCGAGGAACACGCAGCATGTAAGTCTTTACACACTTGCATGTGAGTATGTGTAACACACCTGTGGGCACACGTATCATGTAACACCCACTGGCACATGGGTACTCGTAACAATACCATAGGCATGTATATTATGCCCCTGGGCACATGCAACACACCCATTGCGACATATGCCCATGGACACACGTATCACCCAGGGGGGCTAGTGCAACGCCCCTACAGGGTGGCAATACCCCAGTCCTTGCACCCCTCTTTGCACGGGGGGGGGAGGCACTTTGCCTTGCACAGGGAGGCACTTTGCTCTCCATCCCTTTACACGGGGGGGCCTTTACTCCCTCTCCCTTTGCACGGGGGGGCACTTTGCTCCCCGTGCCATTTGCATGGGGGGCACTTTGCTTTGCACGGGTGGGGCCCTCTCAGTGCACGGGGGGGGGCCCTTCGCTCCCCCTCCCTTTGCAAAGAAGTCCCGATTGCATGCGGGGGGGGCGCGCGGAAG